TTTGTCATTCCTGAATCTGTAGCAGTAGAAATCAGTATGATCGGGGAAGCATTGGAAAAACACTTGTCAAATTGTTTGGGAGTTGTCATCTCCAGAATGAAACTGAGATGGGTGGCTGGTGTGAATGAACAACAACTGCCCTTTCAGAAAGCCTCTGACTTTACTCCATGTTAACAGGGACAGTTAGATTAGCAGGGAGCACTAATCCCCACTGGCACTATGTCTCCTATTCCCTGAAAGGCTGGACATACTTTTTAGATGAGATTTTGCAAGCACAACCAGCGCACAGCACAGCGAAAGAGACAAGTACAAAAAGGTGTAAGGATTTTGACAGCAAAATGAGCCTTGTCTCAGCTGCTTTGACTGGATTCTGGTTCATAGGAATATCCTTTCCCTTTAGATCTACACCCAAGGACAGGTACGGTTTTGTGGCTCTTAAAATGGACTTGAGATAACTCTCTGCTCTATAGTTGGTATACGCTTGAAGCCTCATTTCTTTTTACAGTGCTGTTAGCCAAAGCATCTAGGGTTTGGTCCAGACTGCCACAGGAGCCACTGAATGAGCTGCAATGCACAAAGATTAGGCAAACTTTCTTTTCTACCCATCTTCTCAAAATAGGTCATCGGGATTGTACCAGACTGCCTAAGGCACTCAGAATCAATTCAGGCTAGTCATTTATGAGAAGACATACAAAATAAGTTACACACATTTCCTGCTCTGGGCTGGACTCAACATGGAATTCAGATTTGTTTCAAATTTCTGATTCCTGATAATAGCTAAAATTAAGAAGAAAAACAGAGGGTAAGAGGAGGGTTGCTTTTTGTTGCCTGGTTTTCCTTGTTTTTTAAACAGGAAGATGAAACTTCAACTAGTTTTGACAAAAAAATACAGTCAAATTTATTTCTAAAAGTTTGCTTAGATTTTAATCTGAGAATGTCTATTCATACGATGACACATGGAAAGAGCTTTCTTAATGCAATATCTTTATAGAGGTGATTTGGAAGATCAGTTCATTTAAGATTACTCCATGTTGCTTGCTTTATTAATTGCAAAAAAGCAATGCTCTAGGAATGATGGCTTATATAGTTTTTCTATTTACAAGCCTATTAAGAGTCACAGAATAGAATCACAGAATAGTTTGGGTTGGAAAGGACCTTGAGATCATCCAGTTCCAACCCCCATGCCATGGGCAGGGACACCTCACACTAAACCATCTCACCCAAGGCTTCATCCAACCTGGCCTTGAACACTACCAGGGATGGAGCATTCAATGATCTTACAACTAGTGTGTCAACACTGTCCTCTTCCCTTCTGATTTTCAATTATGCTTTAATGTACCAGACAACCCTTTCCTAGCACGGTTCCAGTTCTACCAAGTGTTGAGGCCATCTTTGACAGAGTGAGTTTTCACCTTTATTCTTGTTAATGCTGAAGAACGAAAGCAGCCTGGAATCCAGAGCCTGCCCTCTAAACCAGAGGATCTCAGCCTGCAGTGTGCAAACTACCTGCAATTTGGGAAACACCAGAAAGTACTTTAAATTGCTGGGGTGGGATATTCCTGTCTATTAAATCGAGGAAAGGATTTTAAAGGAGGGGAATTACAAGTGCTGGATGACTGTTTAAAATTTAGTCTAAGTTTTATTTGACTGTGAATATAACTGTGTCAAGCCATCCCCAACACGGTCAACAGCGAGAACAGTGAATTGTTCAATCTTGTATCAGTGCAAGCACACAAGCACGGCCTTGCATTTCTGAGGTTTTCCTGCAGAACCTGCCTATTCAGGCTGCAAAATCTTTATGACAGCTGAAGGCTTTAATATTATCACATTGCTTTGGTAATCAGGGGGAGCACAGAACCCAGGTATTCCATGTAGTTCGTAGGACCACTTTCCAAAACAGAAAACCTCTTAATTTATGTTAGAAAGTTGTGCTTCATAATCTAAGAGTTCACAAAATTCTAAGTACACATTGACAAGAAGAAGCTCAGACTGGTGTTTGCTTTTAGCCTAGTTTGATCAAGCTCAGCTTCTGCTTGTAAGTATGTGTGTGCTTTTATCTGCCTCTCTCATCCAACTAAATAACTTTTAAACCAATTTCAGCAACATTGGGCAGGGAATAAAGGTCTTTGAAGTCGGTCTCAACATTCTGGATGTCAAATTTTCTACAAAATGACTGGAAACAGGTAGCTAGGTAGAGATGAAAGGGCACACACTGCCCGCACCGAGTATGTTTAGTGTGACCTCAATTCATACTAAGCCTCAGGGAATTCACAGAGGATAGAGAAGTGCCGCGAGTCCCGACATGAGAAAAGCTTCCGTCTGTACTTGAATCTTTATTAACAGTGACATGAGGAATCCTACCACAGGACTCCAAGGCACTAGGAACAAGGCCTTCGTACTGCCACTGCCCACCAACCCACTTCTGCAGTTGTGTTCAGGTGTGTTAGCAACCCGCATGAGTAACAAAACCAACCCAGAGAAGAGCCCATTCTCTGTTACGTAAAACCCTTACCCTTTGGGCTGGTATCTCAATAAGAGTCCAGCTACAGTCTGTTTGATCTCATCACATCATCACCTATTATGGTGCAAACAGTGTTTTGTTCCTGAATCCACACTCTGGAAGCTAACAAAGCACGTAGGACGCCACATCTCATACAAGCAGGATGAAAACCATGTAGATGCTGGTATTCATGTTTGTGCATTGCACTTTCTAGTGACTGTAAATCGTCCTGCTCTGTGCTTAGCATGACTATAGAGAATAGCTAAATTGAACTTACTAGCTTTTGCTTTTTTATGTTCTTTTTTCTCTCTTCAGTTTCTTTTATTATAGAGACAGCGAAGGAAGGTTTAAAGCCCAGCACACATTAAAGTTAATCAAACTCATGTCCAGCTGCCAGTAGCACCAGCTATTTCAGGAGCTACAATACAGACATATGACACTTTCTTCTAGGAACGCCCTCTACACTGAGAGATAGAGGAAGACATGAATAACACATTACCTCTGAGAAGCCCAGGTATTTAAAGTCTTTAGGCTGTTTCTTGTTCTCACAAAAACGGAAGACAAAAGCGCCCTGATTTTTTTAACAAGTACAGGTTTTGATATTTTTTTTCCCCCTCTAGTTTCTAATCTTCCTGGTTCGTTAACCAAAATGTAGCACAAAATACAGCTTGTACAAAACATCAGACATATGGTGTTCACAGAGAGGGGAGTGGCTGCAGAGATGCCTGCGGAGGATGTTGGATGCAGCAAGAGGGAAAATAAAAGGATTTCAGTAGAGCATTTTACTGGGTTTTATCCTCAAATTCAGCCCTGCTGGCTCCAATAGGGATTTCTAGCTGCGCCGGGCTGACCGTGGCTGGGTGCCACGTGCCCACCAAAGCTGCTCTATCGCTCCCCTGTTCAGCTGGGCAGGGGAGAGAAAATACAATGAAAGGCTCATGGGCTGAGATAAGGACAGGGAGAGATCGCTCAGCAATTACCATCATGGGGAAAACAGGCTCGACTTGGGGAAAATTAGTGTAATTTATTACCAATCAAATCAGAGCAGGGTAATGAGAAATGAAACCACTTTTAAAAACCCTTCCTCCCAACTCCTCTCTTCTTCCCAGGCTTAGCTTTACTCCCATTTTTCTCAGACTCCTCCCCTCCAGTGGCACAGGGGAACAGGGAATGGGGGTTGTGGTCAGTTCATCACATTATTTCTGCTGCTCCTTCCTCCACAGGAGGAGGACTCCCCTCACTCTTCCTTTGCTGCAGCGTGGGCTCCCTCGCATCCACCACTAACTTCTCCACCATGAGCCCTTTCCACAGGCTGCAGTTCCCCATGCACTGCCCCAGTGTGGGTCCCTGTGGGGTCACCAGTCCTGCAGCAAACCTGCTCCAGTGTGGGCTCCTCTCTCCACAGGTCCTGCCAGGAGCTGCTCCAGTGCAGGCTTCCCATGGGGTCACAGCCTCTTTCAGGCATCCCCCTGCTCCAGCAGCACGGGGTCCTCCATAGGCTGCGTGGGGAGATCTGCTCCTCTATGGACCTCCACGGGCTGCGGGGGCACAGCCTAACTCACCGTGGGCTGCACAGGAATCTCTGCTCTGATGCCTGGAGCACATTCTCCCCTCCTTCCTCAACTGACCATGGTGCCTGCAGGGCTGTTTGTCTCACACATTCTCACTCCTGTTCCCAGCTGCTGTTGAAAAGGACTTTTTCCTACACCCTTTTTAATTACATTATCCCAGAGGTGCTACCACTGTCACTGATGGCTCAGCCTTGGGCAGGGGCAGGTCTACCTTGGACCCCACTGGCTCTATCAAACACAGGTGAAGCTTATAGCAGCTTCTCAGAGACGCCACTGTGTAGCCTGCCCTGCTACCAAAACCTTGCCACCCAAACCTGATATACTAGCAGTACTGCTTCATTTAATGTACTCTTGCAACTTACAGTCCCCTACTTATCATAATACTTTCTCCTCACTACAGATTTCTTTCTCCATGGCTAATACCTTTTGAGCACTTATTTCTTACTTCAGCTGTCTGGATGGAGCAAGGATAACATGCACAGACTCAGTTTCCTAAGGGACGAATAACTTATCCTTCCATTCCTCAAATTCCACATGCTTCCCTTCATATATATTGATCACACCAACAGGGTGAGGATAAAGTAGGCATCGAGGATAACATTTGGAAACTGGCAATGAACACAGAATTTGTCATGCAGTACAATGTGTCATAATGGATCACCTACAACCATTGAAAACTTGCTTATGCACTGAGAGAGCAATAATAAAAAGTGTGCTTAATATTAATACTTATATTCTGCACACTGGGAAAGAAGGATTCAGAATTCTGCATTCTGAAAGATACTACCAAAAAGTTTGGAAGTGAAAACACTAGTTAAGGGTTGAATTTCTACTCTCTGTTTAACAAATGACCAAGACACATATGCAAGCTGATGTGAGGTATACAGAACAAAGTGAAGGATCTACTCCAGTTTCTCCATAGGACTTACCATGTTTTGGGGGAGGGTGACCAGAAGGTTCTTTGGGATAGGGTGAATCCTGAGTACACATCCATCCTAAAAAAAGTCAGGAGAACAATACCATTATTGATTTTGCACATCTTTTTCTACACTTAAAGACTCTGGAAGAACCTGAAAGACTGCACTACAACATTTAAACTCCCCTCTCTTATAAGAACTTGTATAAGTTTTCTTATTAAACAAATACATAGAAAAACCAAAGCAGTCTCGACTGAAGTATAAAACCGGCTCCTGTTTGCCAAGCAAAACTACTGAAGCTGTACCCTTATAAACAGAAGCAGAAAAGCCACCATCCCCTTGTTGCATGTGACCAGAACCAGTCTGAGTCTATGGCAGAAACATAAGAGCAAGTAAGTTACCTGACTGCAAAGGTACACGAAGTTAGAAAGGAGCAACAGGGGTTTAAGCTCATCACTAAATAAAAGGACTGCTACCAGACAGCTAAACTTAAGAAGGCATTTCTAATTTGGACCTGATGGCTTTAATGTGGTTGTTACGGCTGGAGAATCCATGAGTTCAGGACAGAAAACTCTCTACATCTGTGCCCTGCTTCTGGATTGGGAAACTGATTAATGGGCTGAAAGGCAGCTAAAGGCTATCAGAGCTGCAGAATAAAACTAAAGGAAGCTGGTTAGAAGCTTTTATCTTCCAAAAGGCAGGAAAAATAATAAAGCTTTACCATGCACTGAAAGGCCTTTCACACTGAAACGCTGCTGGCTCACGTCTATAGCAGCATGAACGCAAACTGCAGGGTGTGGGACAAGTTGCAGGAAGCTGGTGAAGAAGGCAATTAGCAGGAGTGGAAAAACTCCAGGCTATTTCCCTTCTTTCCACACATTACTTACAGAAAGCACCACTGCTCGACACATAACTCCTCCTGCTACCTATTTTAATGTATATTCAAGGAACATTAAACAGGTAAGGCAGGGTAAGGTTGCTCACCCAGCAGAAACTAAGTAAAGATGAACAACGAAGATCCATTCATCCTCTCCTCCATAAATGAACTAGAGGGTGTCAAAGAGAAGTAGCAGGTGGCAAATTCAAAACATGTATTATGTTTGCCACGCAATGTCTTAGGAATCTGGTGGTTTCAAACAGCAAACTGTCCTTATCTTGCCCCACAAGCCTTTTGCTATATTGCCTCTCTCCTCTACAGCTGAGGAGCGGAAGTGATTTGACTGGCCTTGGCAGCATCCAGCCATGATCAACCCACCACACCGGGCCAAAGTGATATCTGATTTTCTTCTCTCCAGCTGCCTTGCTTCATGTGTTAGCTGCAGTGCCAAACCAATCCTTCTATTATTCAACCAGCACTACCTGAGTGTGCCCCTGCCCTAGGCACTGCCTAGTTGCCTTTGCCAGCCTGCCTGGCCCTGGGTAGCCCTTCCTCTTCCCCCAGGACATCGGCGGATTCCCTCTTGTGCCAGGTTTGGTGTGGTGAGGGACAGCAGGAGGACGGGGGGAGGAATAGGATCCATTTTTGCCACAGCAAAATAGAAGCAAAGCGGCTGCTAGCTCCTAGCTTGAGCCCCCATTTATCTGCCCATGTAAATCTCTCCGCTTCTGAGAGAACGGGAGGGAATGCTTTGCCTGCCTCTTGCAAGAGTCCTTCATCAGGCTTGTCTTCTCCAGGACAGAGAGAGGGAGGAGGGAGTGCACTGGGTGGTGCAAGCACGTCCATGGCTGGCTCTTTTGGATAGGGAGCAGCCAGTTCACAACCCAAAACTTTCAGTATGGCACCTACAGAAGATGAAACAAAGACTTTTACTTTTCAGCTGGACTTCGCTGAACTCCTCTGTGGACCAGCAAGATCAGTCACCGAGCAGAAAAGGCCTGTAAAGGTCAGGCAAACTTGCACTGGAAGCATGGGGATACAACCACAAGTGGTTGCTGATGACAGGGCTACACTGGTATAGAATTCACTGTATATGCTAAGAATGCAATGTTTTTAAGGTGCCTTTCTCCCGGTTCCCACAGCCTGAATTTAGAGGGGATCTAAAACCGAGGAGGGAGGCTGCAAAGCCACTGAATTCACCCTGCACTGAAAGCACACCTATTTGCCAACTCACTTCATTGAGATGACAGCTAACTCTTTTGGAGTCTCAAATTCTCATTTCCATCAATTTAGGCTTTAGACTACATCACCTTTTCCATTTTTTTAAACGAGCTTGTGGAAAAGCATATTAAAAATCAGCTTCTTCTCAAGTCACCCCTATTGTCCATGCTATGTTTTGTTTAGGAAATCTAATCAGGCTTTGCTCACAACACACAGAACAAATTTGCCGTCTCTGCAGTGCCGAGATGAGAACGCTTTTGTGCGTAAAATACAAAGAAGGAAGACTTGCATATCAAATAGCAACCAGAGAAGGAACTTCATGTGATGAGAAGAATGAAAGAATTTGGTGGATCATTGGATTTTAATGTCGCTACTTCTATGGAGAATGGCACAGGGGCCTTTCATAACCATGAACATTCAAGGCTCATCTGAGCAATCACACCTCTCACAGCATGCTCGTTCCCTGACATTTATGCTGTGAGTGCTCTCTCAGCAGCCCCCTCATTACAAATCTCTAATGCCACTTCTGGTGTCATTTCATTTTCCTGTGAAGGTCTTCTACTCACTGCCTTCCCACACTGTTTTGCTCACGGTTTCTGATGAAATCACAGCCAAGACAGTATCAGACACAGTGCGAGTTGCAGAGAGGGAGAGCGTTCAGTCGCTGGCAACTTCAGTGCAGCTTTCTGCCCCACAGAGGAGGAGGACATCTTGATAACCACATCCTCAGAACAAAATGCTTTGCCTCAAGTGAGTTGAGGCCCTCTACTTTGACAAGTAAAACCTTGTAAGCTGTACCTTGGAATACAAAAGGTTGCAATTCACGTTTCAAGATGCAGTGGATGAAAGTATTCTGTATATGAATACCAATACCTGTTAGTACTTGACCCTTGGAAAGGTTGTAAAACAGTAGTCTCTGAATGGAGCCAGGAGGCTCTAAGCAGTTTCTTGGCAGAGTTGACAGGAAGGACAACGCTCAGCTGTTGGCTACTTTATTTCCCCTTTCCCCAATTGATAACGTAACTGTGAGTGAGGGTTTGGAGAATGTCGGACTAATGGAAACAGTGAAAGCACGAGGAGGATGGAAACGGAGGAAACCGATTTGGCAGCACAAAACAGAACACTCAAAGCGCAAAGGGAACAAAATGGATTTCAGGGGAAAACAAGTTGCAACCTATTGTAAGAGTCCTACTGCTGCCTGATGAGGAAAAGGGTTAATGAGCAGATAAGGGAGGAATTCTGCAAAACTGCTTTGCCTGAGGAACGGAAAACCTCAACAGAAGCAACAGAGATAAATAGACCACAGCCCTCATGAAAGGTGAAACAGCCTCGCTGAGAGGCTCTTACTGTGCAGCTGATACCAACAAACTGCCTGGGCAGTGCAGCTTCTCTGCATAAAGATGCAGCTTCTCAGTGATGCAGAGTGGAGTTGTTGCTGCAACAAACTCAGCCCACTGCTTGCATTGCCTGGTAAAATCCATGAGAAAACTTAACTTCTGACTCCTGAAGAGGTTTCCTGCATCCCTGACTCTGTTTCCCTGCATCCCTGACCCCAGCAGGCAATTTTGTCTATCAGCAGGTTAGTTGGGTTGGCAAGGTGACACAGCAAACAAACCTGTTCATTAACCTGGTGTGTCCCCTGACCAAAGCATGCTGGTGATAATCCATGGGTCATGTGCGTGTTTGTGCTGGGATGGGATCGGATCAGTAAATGAGAGTGATGCCACGGAATCATTTCATGTGACCTAATGAGTCCCTTTGATAGAATCACAGAACCAACTAGCTTGGAAAAGGCTTTTAAGGTCATCAGTTCCAACCTTTACCCCAGGACTGCCAAGTCCCCTACTAAACCCTGTCACTGAGGGCATCATCTACACATCCCTGAACGCTTCCAGCGATGCTGATTCCACCACTTCCCTGGGCAGACTTTTCCAACACCTCATCACCCTCTCTGTGAAGAAATTCTTCCTAATATCCTGTCTAAACCTCCCCTGGCACAGCTTGAGGTGTCACAAATAACTTCCTCTCTGAAAGCCCTACAACATACAGCTTTACCTGTCCTGCAGGAAAACAGAATCTTGAAGAAAAAAAAAGGAAGAAAAGTAATCAATAAAACCTGACATTCCCTTCTTTTCCTCCTGGAACATATTTCTATTCAACACAGACATTCACCATATAGGCTGCATAGACTTTTCCCGGGCTCCACGATAGCAGTCATTATCCCTGCAGGGAAACCGTGAGGCGCCCCCTCCCCGTCCTCATCCTCATCCTCATCCCCATCCCCGCCCTCCTGCATCCCCTCGCTCCTGCATCCCCGGCGGCTCTGACCAGCGGGGGGAGCTCCGAGCACGCCGCGGCCCCAGCGCGGCAGCCCGGCTGGGAGCGCTCGGGGTTGAGCAGGAAGAAGGGAACGTGGGGGAGAGCAAGGTCAGTGTCATTCCCTCTCCCTCGGCCTACTGCAGGGCTGTCGCTCTTTCAGCGGAATTAATGAGCTTCCCGATGAAACCGGCCGGCCAGACCTAAACCCGGCACAAACGTGCAGATCTACCATCCAAATACTGCAGGGTACCTTTTAAACAGCTCAATACGATTTCATTAGCAACTGCAGATCAGAGGCATCCTGGATCGTTTCCAAGTCCTACCCGGCTGCAGAAATGAAACATTTACCGAACTGATCAGCTGGCTATTGAACCTTCAGTTCTGCGACAAACCCTTCTTCTCTCCACCCCCTCCCCAAAACCCACCAAAGAAATACCTGTGCACACATCCAACGAGGCCTCGGGAACAAGCCCTTCTATTTTCAGTAAGCCTAATGCGTTTGGTTCTATGCGAGAGGTCGAACACGCTGCTCACCAGGTGGTGCAGACAATTTCCTGTTGTGTCTCTATAAAAACCACGCAGATGCGAGCTAAGTGACTGCATCTTTAACTGCTTGACACCTTTTTTTTCCCCCCTTTGCTAAACAGTATTTCCTGTTCCACAGT